TGTATATATATGTGTGAGTCCTAATTAAGAATTAGGGAGATATAGATCTTATACATATTGTAAAGTCATGTAAAAACCAAGAGAGTTATTCTTGAGAAGAAAATTGCTTTGAGAAAGTAATAGTGCAATACAAAGCCAAGATAGAAAATACTAGTACAAGAAAATTATTTCTTGTTCTTCTACCTTTGAGTTGAGTTTTTTGAGAAAAATTTCAACACAATATTTTCATTCAATTTGTTAGCGGGATTTCATTGATCAAAGAGTTGATAGCAAGGATCAGTCTCGATGTGGATACGCATAGAGGTTTCGCACTATCGAAGAAATTTAAAACGAGACTCTCTTCACCAGGTACGTCTTAGATCCTATCTTTGACATATAAATAAATTTTAAACACGAAAAGTTCTGCCTAGGATTGTTATTGTCTTCCGCTGCATGTTATGAACACCTCTACGCAATCCTACAAAACAATCATCAATACACCAAATTCATCAAAACCCAAAAAGATTTACTCCATAGACATGGAGAAGTTCTTCACAAATAAAATAAAAGTAGAGAAAAATATAAATACAATCCAAATCTGGATCTTGAGTGAGGAAGGAAGGATGAAATCCTTGTGCTATTTCTTCTCCCCCTTCTCCTTAGCTTCCCTAGGTCTAAAGTATGTCCAAATTTCTAGAAATGGTATTTTCCCATGTCTTTAACTATCCCCCAAATAAATCCCGGACGAAAAATACCCTTTTTAGCGGAATTGAAAATATACTCTAACATTTTTGCACTACCGCGCTGCATGCCGCGCCGCCCCATGCGGCACGCTTGTGAAAAATTCCAGAACAATTTGGAAAACACATTCCGGGCACATTTTGCATAGCCATGCCTGTAGTTTTCTTATAGTAAGTTCGTTTCTCCAATTTTTGACATCCAAACTTGGTACTCGACCCCCGAACGCGATCCCGATTTAATCCCTTGGGCTTCTACTGAGACTTCAAAGCTCCAAATAGCTCAAATTTGCTCTGCAATATCTAAATAACCCGAAATCATTCCTACACGGTATAAAACACACAATAAGTGTAAAATATTATTAATTAAAGCTCATCATAAGTAAAGTGCAGTGAATTAGAGTGCAATAAACGACTAAAATACGGGTTTCTAACCTAGCATCACCCATAGAGAATGAGGGGTTTGAAAAACCTGCCAAGCCAGGCTAGCAAGCAAAGCATTTTTCTTAGTTCTAAGTGTTTGAATATTCAATCCTCCCCTATCTGTCAAGGTTGTAATCTGCTTCCATTGTAAGAGATGTAATTTTTTCCTTGTAGCAGTTGTACCCCAAAGGAAATTGCGTTGGTACTATTCTATTTTATTAATGATACTTGTTAGAATATGGATGTATTGCATAACATGGTTGGGGAGCGTATTCAGGGTTGATTTGATGAGAGTAGTTCTCCCCGCCATGGTCATGAATTTTGTTTTCCACCAGCTAACCTATTTTTAAAGTTATCCAATAGGAATTGAAAGTCACTCATTTTGGGACGGGAATGAAATATAGGAAAGCCCAAATATTTACCAAAAGAGTTCCTTGATTGGGAATGATTGAAGAATAAAGTTCTTATTAGTTTGTGAGCAATTTTTTGAGAAAAAGATTTTGGATTTTAGAAATTTATTTTTTGATCAAAATGCTTAGTAAAGTGGTCTATTACATCTGTAATAGCATGACAACTTTTGGTAGTGATCTTAGAAAGCAGTATTATGTCGTCTGTAAAGAATAGATGTGAAAGTTTGGGGCCAGTTTTTGAAAGACGAATAGGTTGCCAGTTGAGATAGTCCACTGATATAGTAATACTATGCGAGAACATTTCCATACACATTATGAAGAGGTAAGGTGACAAAGGATCCCCCTGACGAATGCCTCAAGAGGGGTTAAAATAGGAAGTACAGGTTCCATTTATTGGAATAGAAGTAGAAGTAGTAGTAATATAGGACATGATTAAATTGATTATAGAAGATGGAATATTGAAGTATAGAAGAGTTTTTCGGATAAAGGACCATTCTAGGCGATCAAAAACTTTTTCAAGATCCAATTTTAAAAGCATGTTACTAGTTTTTCCTTTCATTTTTTGAAAGTGTGTAAGAGTTTCTTGAACTATTATAGCATTATCTCAAACCCTCTCCCCTTTCCCTGTTGGAAACTAGTTTGGGTTGGTTCGATTATTTTAGAAATTATAGGCTTAAGTCTATTAGCAATAATCTTGGTGATAAGCTTGTAAATAGTGTTACACAAGCTAATAGGGCGGTATTGTTAGATGGTATGCACATGCTTGACTTTAGGTATTAGGCAAAGATACGTACGATTGAGGTCAGGAGGAATCACCTTAGCTAAGAAAATTTGGTGACAAAACTGTTTGACCTTAGAGCCTACTTCTTGCTAGGTTTGGAAATCAACATTACTAAGTAGGCTGGAATTTGAGTCTTGATGTAAGTGAAAGGATTCTATGTGCTCCGTAGTAAAAAGAATTTTGGTAGTAAACAAAGATTTGTTGGTGGATCTCAGCGGGGTTAAAGCACCAATTACCAACGGTGTCTTTTAGAGAAGTTATCCTATTTTTTCTTCGTTTTTTTCTTTTTTTTCTTTTTTTAATATACTACTAGGTTATTCACCTAATAGTTATTTTATATAATAAGTCCCAAACTGGGTCAAAGGTACACACTGTCCAAGTAAAAATAATAAAACAAAACCAATGGCTATTGCTACCAAATATAATGTAGCAGTAGCATAATGATAAATGAAAAGTACAAAGCTAATAATTTGAAACATCCAATTGTTGCCCACGACAATGAATCCACATTGCAAATAATTCCATATAGCACCAACAATGCTCTCACCAGGCGCCATTTGTTACAATCCAATGTAGTTTGTATGTATTAATCCACATGTCGTAAAGCATTGCTTGTAGGATATCCTTAATGTGGTGCTGAATAACTTAGATTACAGCGTTGAACTTGTTGTAAAGCATAGAATTTCAAGCTTCAAATGATTCTTCAGATGTTAGAGTAAGAATAACAGATCGATGAGAAAGCCTATCATCTTATCAGTGCTGAAGCTATGTATAACAAAGTAAGGATATCTTCCAATTTTTTGCACCTCTTGGAAACTGAATGCTGCCTTGTTGAAATATTGTTGTTGTAATTTGTCTACCAACCCCCAGAATGATCATGGTAACATGCTAATACCACTGGGAATTGATACGACAACAAACAAACAGTCAATATGTTCAAAACTACAGCAACAAAAGTAATAAGGTGTGCCTAAACAGTAATGCATTATATTGCTGTGAAATGATGTTCTGTTGATATATTCGTAGAAGCACACTTGCACTTATAGCGCCAATGAATACTCATGTATTTGTCCTGAATAATCCATACAGCATATGAAAATCCTTCGTCTTTGAAGTGTAGACATATGGAAAAATTTAGTGTTAGAGTCACCATCATTGAGCCAAGCTATACGGGATTTCAATTTCCAAAAATCTTTTTCTAGTCGAAGGATGTTACTATAATCATTAGTTAATTGACTCTCTAGGTTTTGAAGGAAGGTACTTGTAGGATAATGAACTGGTGATTGGATGCCTGAGAGTCTAGCCAATATCTTACGCTTACGTTGGAAGATATTGCCAAAAGTGTGTTTATTCTAGCGAATGACTACCTCTTTAAAGAGTTTTGTGGTATTACGAGAGTTGAGTTATTTGCCCAGGCTTGATGAACTAATTGGTGAAACTCGGGTTGTGAAGTCCACATAGTTTCAAAACGAAAAATCTTCTTGGTAAAAGGATGTCTATATTCTAAAGTGAGTAGAAGAAGGCAATGATCGGAATAGGTTCTAGGCAAGTGTTGTACTGTTGCCTCGGGATAGATTTTTAACCAATCATAGTTTGTTAAAATACGATCAAGTCGTTCTAAAATTATGTACCCATATCTATGTTTATTAGTCCATGTAAAACGGCTACCTCGAAACCCTAAGTCAATTAAGTTGCAATAGTTAAGACAATGTGCAAAGTTGTCCGCTCTATTGTTACTAATAGGCCGCCCACCAAATTTTTAATGGGAGCATAGAAGTTCATTGAAATCTCTGCCCACTAATAGTACACTATATTACATCCTATCTTGTAAATGGCTCCATTCGTTGTGTCAAAAAGTCATATGCCTTCATAAACTTATATGCATTTTCACATATGTACATTGCATGTACACAGTACAAAATTGCAAAATGTAGTAGGTGTTGAATCTGCTGAAAAGAAAGCGAGCGAGGAGACGTTTGGTATCTCATAGTAGGAAGAGCTTTATTTAGAGCCCGTTTGTACATAAGAATTTTTTTATTTTTTTTTTGAATTTTTTTTACTTTTTTCGAAATCAGTGTTTGGCCATAAAATTTTTAATTTTTATTTGAAGATGAATTTTGGAATTCTTCGAAAATTAAAAAAATTCCAAAAAACTGTTTTCAAAATTTTCACTCAGATAACTCACAAAAATTTAAAAACAATCCAAAATTATATTCATGTTCAAACACAACTCTAATTTTCAAATATTATTTATACTTGAAATTTTTTTTCGCCTTTCTTTTTAACTTTACAGTTCTTATGTCCCGCTTAGTATTAGTTGGGGAGTTCTTCTTTTATTTGAACCTTGTAAATCTTATGGTTAATTCATCGTTTTATTAGCTTAATAGTAACATCTATTTTCTTATAACGATTACACATTTTTGTGATACTGTGTTTTCAGTATGTTTTCTACTTCTAAAATTTTAACTCGAACTGTTTACCTGATTGTTTAATTTGGTCGAGAATAAACCCAAAACACAGTTTATTTTCAAAAAAGAAAAAGAAAAAGAAAAAGAAAATCAAAATCAAATGAATCTAATGGTCACAAAATTTCGGTTCACACTAAGATCCGACCCATAGCCCGGATTGCGAGCCCAACTACAAACAAAAAAGTCCAGATTACAAACAAGACTCCCACGCTAGGGTTTAACAAAGGGTTTTTTTGCTTGATTTTTTTTCTTTTCTCAGTGGTGCAAAATGGCTTCTCTAATGGCGATTCGCAGAGCTCGAATCTCCATTTCCACTTCCTCTCACAAGGTACGTTTATTATACACATCTTCGCACTCTATTTCCGACCTCAAATTCCCTAAAACCCTAACCTTAAACTCCCCGCTCTTATCAGTACCTCTGAAAACCCTATCAACATTCGCAGCACCAAACGATGCTCAACAAATTCCCCCATACCCCTCTGATTCACCTAGGGTTCCGCAAAACAGGGATTTTGCAAGCCCTGCTCAACAGTGGAATAATCAAACCCAGAATTATCCGAATAATAATCATATGAATATGTCGTATCCTCAATATCAAACTCAAAATCCTAATCAGGTTAATCAAGGTTATCCTAACTATGGAAATGTTAATCCCGGTCAAGGATATGCCAATCCTGGTCAAGGATATAGCCAAGGTTTTCAGAATCAGAACCTTTCTCAGCGTCCAAACATTAGTGACAGGCATAATATAAGCCCTAATGTTCAAAATCAGAACATTCAATATAGGCCAAACCCCGGTGAGCCTCGAAATAACCTGCCTCCTGGATATGTTAACCAATGGAATAATCAAAATCAAGGCTTCAGAGAACAAGGTAACCCTAGTGCAGCTCCAAGTTATCCACAAGGCGGATATCAGAATCTGGAACGCACACAGCACCCTGATAGGAATCAGAATTATCCACAGCCTGGTTCTGGTAATCAGTGGAGTAATCAAAATTACACGCCAAGATTAAGCTCAGGTCAACTTCCTCAGGCACAGAGCGTCCAGCCAGGAAGTGGGTTTCCGATAAATAATCAATCTCAGAACCAAGCTCAGGTTCTTCAGAATCAAGTGCCAAGTGTTCCTCCGCCTACTGTTGATTTAATCAGCTTGTGCCGAGAGGGTAAAGTTAAGGAGGTTATTGAACATATGGAGCAGGGAGTAGTCGGTGATGCGCAATGTTTTGAGATGCTCTTTGAGTTATGTGCGAACTCGAAGAAACTTGAAGATGCTAAAAAGGTGCATGATTACTTTTTGAGATCAAAGTTCAGGAGTGATCTTCGTTTGAACAATAAAGTTATTAATATGTATTCCAAGTGTGGAAGTATGATAGATGCGCGCAGGGTTTTTGATCATATGCGTGATAGAGATATGGACTCGTGGCATTTGATGATAAATGGATATGCACTGAATGGATTGGGGGATGATGGGTTGACATTGTATGATCAGATGAGGGAGTTGGGAATGAAGCCAAGCGAGGAAACTTTTCTTTACATTTTCGAGGCTTGTGCCAGTGCGGACGCCATTGATGAGGCTTTCATGCATTTTGGGTCGATGAAGAGTGAGTATGGAATTGCTCCACAGGTGGAGCAATACTTGGGACTTATGGGTGTTCTAGGAAAATGTGGACATCTTGCTGAGGCAGAGGATTATATCACTAAGCTCCCATTTGAACCAACAGCAGCTGTCTGGGAAGCATTAATGAATTATGCTCGTATACACGGCGATATTGATCTTGAGGACCGAGCTGAGGAGTTGATGGTTGGTCTTGATCCTTCTAAGGCTGTTGCTAATAAGATTCCCACTCCGCCACCGAAGAAGCAGTTAGCAATTAATATGCTTGAGGGAAGAAATAGAGTAGCTGAGTCTCGTAATCCAACCCTATATAAGGATGATGAGAAGTTGAGGGCTGCAATGAAAGAACAAGCTTATGTGCCTGATACCAGATATGTTCTTCATGATATTGATCAGGAAGCTAAGGAACAGGCTTTGCTATACCACAGTGAGCGTTTAGCCATTGCATATGGTCTGATTAGCACACCTGCTAGAACCCCTTTGCGCATTATAAAGAATCTCCGCGTGTGTGGTGATTGTCACAATGCTATCAAGATTATGTCAAGGATTGTTGGGCGAGAGTTAATTGTCAGGGACAACAAACGGTTTCATCATTTCAAGGATGGCAAATGTTCTTGTGGTGATTATTGGTGAATAACGGTGGCTAAATCAGTATTTGTAGACTGGCTGCCTCAATTCTTAGGATCATCAAGAAATCATCAAGAGTCTGCATGCTGGAATGAGTATGATGCTGAGATCCTTATAGATCTGTTATGACACTGTTCAGGATCATCTCAAATCACCAACAACTTGCATGTTTTGATAATTACAATGCCAAATATCACCATATCTTGCAATTTATGGATTGCTTGCTCTCTTGTGGATACCAAAGACTCCTAATAGTAGTTTGTATCTTTGTGTTTAAGAGATTAATCAGTGAAATGCCAGTCTCTGTTTAATATTCCATTTGTATCTGCACAATATTTTCACGGTGTCTTCTGGTTCTCACTTGGCAGGAAAATGCTTTAGTTGAGTTATATTATTGTTTCATGAAACTCAGAGATGTAACTTTTTTACAAATTGACTACTAGCTTGCATGCATGTGTGAGGCATCCGAAATCTTGAATTAATAAATTTAATAATTTCGTTTATTCTGTAAAAGTTGTACAACGCAATAGAACACCTTTTTATTTTAGTTGGATGACAAAATGGTCTTCTTAGGCGAAATATCTGGAAATTTGGCTTTTCTATTTTACATGTTATTTCTTTATTTCTGATGTACTTTCTTATTGCATGCTTAATTCTATCATTGGATTCTGAAACGTTCAATTTTAAGTGGTGGTTTAGATTTTCCAAATTCTGTTGATATTACTAATTCAAGTCTTACATTAACTGTGGACTATATAGTCCCTTGTCAGTGATATTCCTTTTGGTTTAGACTTTAGATGCTATAAGTTTCTTTTTGTGCATCACTCATGAAGAAACCTGCCCATCTTTGGTTTGTTTAAAGGACCGGAGAATGCTTTGAAAGAGGGGCAGAAAGCATTCTAAGATCTACGGTGTTAACACTTTTCTGCAAAATTATCATTGGGAACATATCGTACCATTAATCACTATCCGTGAACCAATTATTGGGTGGCTTCAAAAAACTATGTTTTTTATTAGTAGATTAACAGTTTTTCTTGTTATTTATTTGTTTAAATTGATTTATTTTAGGTCTTCTGTATGATTGTTCCTTATCCTTAAATATATGTATGCAAAAATTTTAGCTTATGTTAACGTGAACCTTATTTTTATTGAAGTCCTTTATATAGGTTCTTTTTTGTCTTTTCACCCCTTTGGCTCTTCCTCTTCTTAGAAAACGAAGTACTGGAGAAAAATTCCAAAAAATCCATCGTATTTGTTTATCCTTGTATGCATGTATTGGGTGTGTATGATGATGTTTTAATGAGTCACATTTCATTTTAGCTCCCTGATACTCTGAAAATGGATGTGCCACCTACCATGGCGTCATTTCCATCTTTTGCTATGTGAATTAATATGGGAAGCAATTAACTTTCTCATTTCTGATTAAACATGATTTTGCAAACATCATACGAGATGTACCACAGTGGCATTAACACCAAGAATTACACTAGTCAGCAGTACCATGCTTGGTACAATGGATCTTATTCTGAAACTTATGGTCTTGTGAATGCTATTTAACTTTTCATAGTTGCAAAACCTATTGGATGAAACCTTAAATTATAATGAAAATATCAAACTAGTAAGAACTATTGCTACCAGCATGCAGAAATCTTGCATTTATACTAGGAACATATAACTAAGGCATAAAAAGCTTCTAACAAAGTGTCATAGTGCGAGTCATCATAGTCATGAATTCATCCAAATCAATCACACCATCTCCATTTGCATCCACAGCCTTCACCATTTTCCTGCAATCTTGAAGGCTGCACCTCTGTCCGAGCCCCTTCTGCAACTCGTATACTTCCTGCACACTGATCTTTCCATCACCATCCTTGTCAAAAGTATGAAATGCACTCTTCAAATCCATAGTTTTGACACCACCTTCCTTCTTCTGCGCTTCCACAAACTCCTTGAAATCAATAAACCCATCACCATTTGCATCTGCAACGTCGAAAATCTTTTGTACTTCCCTTGTAAGGAGGTTTTTCTTCCCCATGGATTTGAGAATAGCTTTGTATTCTTCTGGTGAAATCTTGCCATCTTTGTTTGAATCAAATTTATCAAAGACTTTCTTTAGTTCATCCACACTAAGTTGGTAAATAGGCAATAAGCCTGAGTTTTGTCTCTCTTTGGTAAACATCCTAGTTGGCTTACGCAGGAAACTCCTCTTTGAGAGGTTGTATTGGAAATCAAGAAAGCTCAATTTCGACATTGGAGAGATTGTATTGTATTTGGGAGAAGATATCTAAGACTTAAAACTGGAATAAACTTGGAGAATAACATTGTAGCACAGGACCTTAAATAGTAGAATGGTTATGAATAAAGGAAACAGATATTCTGATGCTTAACGCAAAGAAGATAAGGAAGAATATTATTTATTCCTCAACTACTTGTAAGCAACAATATTCTCAATCCAACGTATGAAAGCATAAAAAGAACCAAGAAGGAAACAGCTGAGATGAAAAAGGTATATAAAGCTACAAATACATTCTAGATCCTCGCACAACTTGCTCAGTTGCTCCAACCGATTTCACTTCCTTCTCGAAAGTGCTTTGTTCTGCTACGGATGTATAGAATCTGTCCTTTATTTGACTTGAGAAAATTGGTTTAGAATTAGACCCTCACTTTTCCCCTTAAGGGATACAGCAATTCCGCGATGTTATGTGCCTCTTCACAGCTCTCCTAATGTATACTGGTTTAAACAAAATGGTACGAGTATGCTTTTGTCAAGGTGGTTTCAATCATCCAAGTCCGCCATCACTTCAATATCGTTGCGTAGTGTTATTTTTTGCACATAACCTGTAAAGCTATATAGTTATATTTTGGATTAAGATTCCAACATATCTATCACCTAACCACGAAAAAGAAGTGTAAACCCAGAAGACACAATGCACATATCAGTTCCATATTTATTAAATAATAAGTAAACAATAATCTTGATTTGCAAAACAGCACCAAAGTAGCTTTTAGGGGATAACTTTTCTATCGTTTGATTAAAGCTTCTCGGGGCTAATTTCTGAAGAATAAAAAACTTGTGCAGAGAAATCCCTGGGTGCATATGTACGTACAGCCGTCTGTGGAGGAGAATTCTTGTATGCCTTCTCATTTACAAAAATATTTGGTGGACCACATTAGATAGCATTAAAGGAATCAAGAACTTAAATACCATCACAGAGGTTGATAAAGTTAATTCACCAGAGACAGCCAGAGAAAGAACGATCTCAGGAATTTATTCGCCCTTTAGAGTCATGAACCTGAATTAAGTCCGAAACTACAAGCAGAAAACGCAGAATCTGGAAAACACGGAGGAAACACGCTTTTTCCTTTAGTTTAGAAAAGGTGGACAAATTTAGGCCCGTACATGAAATATGCTACATGACACAGATTATAGGTCAAAGGAGCAATAAGTAAAACAAGACCAAACCCGATATTCTCCCCCAACTCTTAAGACGTCAGACAGATGTAGAGATGCACAAGAAAAGGAAAAGAATGTCACATGATGCATATAGAAGTAAATTTCAAGATCCTGACTCTAAGGACTCTTGTTTTTCCAGATAAAGGATTTTTTTGAAAGGTTGCCAGAAGTATCACATTTCCAATTTAAAAGCACCTATACCAGCAGCACAAGCCCAAAATAGCAGCTAAACGAAAACCAAGCAATACAAATTGCTGAAATTAAAGACACATCAAGTAGAAAAAACTCTATGAAGTAAGGAACACATGGCTCCAAAATCTCAACAAGATGGTCGCTGCCTTACTGATTTAGAGTTTCCATTACAAGGATCTCTAATTTCCTCTATAGTAAACTATGATATTTGGTGGTCCATCTATTTTCTTAGTTCTGTTTTGATATCTCTTCTGAAGTCTATCTATGCACATAAAGAGAACCATTTTTTCCTTTTTTGATGAGTCCGTTAAGAGAAAAAAACTTCGGAAGATGAGAGACACAATACTGTGATTTTTGGAGGCTACTTTCTCACTTAAATCCATAAACTAACCAAGGTTTAAACTCACCACCAATCAGAACCATATATATAGTCCTTTTGAATCGTACTTCATTAACTAAATTTACCAAAGGGACAAACAGTTCTCCAAAGCTATGAAAGTCTCAATGAAAGCTAATCATCAACTAGTTTATAATCTATTCTTCCAAGGATTTTATATTCCAATTAGAAGGCGCTCCTGCTTCTTTACGACCATTTCTATCTACTCCTACTGCTTCCAGAACTTCAAACTAATCCTCTTTCTCTCTGTTAATCCCAATTTCAACAACTCCTAGTTCAAGCAAAAAACTACAGGCAACCAATGTTACATGAATGTTCATAGAAGATAATATTCAAGTAGGAAATAAAATTATGATAGTACCGATTCCAGCGCAAGGTATGCATTTACAGATGGTCTCTTTCCCCCTTTTGTCATAGTAACTGACCAATCCTGTCCCTTGGCAACTGCGACATTTTCCAGTCCACTCATAGACGACTTCCTTGCAATCCTGAAATAATGACCAATGGAAAACTCATCAAGCATAGGTTAAAACATACCTTGCAAGCAGTCTTCCTCAATTTATACACAGAGACCATAAAATTATTCATAAGAATCATACAGTAGTTGGCAATTCTATCAGTAAGTCTCATAGAATTCTGATAACATAGACACTGTCCTATCCAGTGCCTTAGCTCTTGTACGTCGTACATATATCGCTGCCTCGAACATTACTGCATAGGAACTTCTGAAAGTTTTCTGTTTCCTTTTTCTTTGACTAGCNACTGGCTCTCTCTCTCCCACCTTTTCTAAATATTCCAAAATTATACTTGTATTAGGTGCTCCAAATGTCCATTCCATACATAAAAGAACTCGATCAAGAAAAATGAAATGTTTGTCCTCCTCATATTCATATTTAGTAATCATGTAATTAAGCACAGTGAAATCCGAAGTCAAGAAAAAAGAGGAACAAACAATAACCCACTGTCTAGAACTTCAACTATATATGTATATACAAAACTAAAAAGATAGTAATAAATTTTAAAAGTATGCATATGTGTTAAGAGGGGCACTTACTATTGAACTTAACTAATGAGTATACTGTATAGAAGTTAGCAAATTAAACGGTTCAAATAATTTTACCAGTCTTATCACCGTACATTAGGTCACTTCTACCAACCTTATCTCAACTCAAGACTCTCAATTAGAGCCAACAAGTTTGCAACTTTACCGAAACCCAACAAATAATACAACAAAATAAACCATTCCACGTAAAGAGAACTTAAAATAAATTTAAAACAAGAACCTCAATTACGGGGTCACACCGGAGCCGGCGGTCAATTTCGTCAGGCGAAACAGGGGAAGTATCAGGGTAAGTCATAGGAAGAGGAAGAACATCACTATCATCAGCTAAATAACTCTCTCTATTACGTGACCAACGCCTTTCTTTAGCATTCACTTTTGTGTTCTTTTTTATATTATTATTCCCAATTCGCTTATTAGCAATTTCGTCGGAGTTTTGGCTAATTTTGCCAAACCCAGGTGCTGCTGAGTCGGCAGCGGCGTAGCAACGAATGAAGGTGGGTTTATGACGAGTTAAAAGAGAAACTGTGGAAATGGAAGAATTTGGAGGAGTAAAGATTGAACGAGGATTTATTAAAGGCAACATTTGAAAGAAATTAATAAAGTGAATTGTAGTATCATAGAGTAATCGAATGTTGGTTTAATGTCATTTATCGGAGAAAAGATAGAAGAGTGACTGTGAGTTGTTTGAAAAACGTGGGTTGGTAGGAAAATGCTTTACTACGACAATATTGGAATATGTAAATCCAAATATCCACATTAATATTCGGATTTTCATCTTCAAAATTTTAGTAAATGTAATGTATCCTATCAATGTGGGGTGCTAATCATCGTTTTTCATATTTGTCAAGAGGCTTTCAACGGTTAATCTTGTCATTTCTCATAATTTTCAAAAGTTACTGTCAGTGTCCGTCAAAAAAATAAAAATAGATTTGGTATGTATGACTTTATTTGCAGAGGTGGAATTAGAATTTAAAATTTATAAATTTGATATTATAATTAAATTAATAATTTGTACTTATATAATGAAACTTTCAAATTTGGGTCAAAGAAATTGAGTTTTGTCGAACTAGCAAAGCGTGTGCTAGCTCTGCCATTGTTTATTTGCTTTGGATAAAAAGTTTTACAAGTAGAGCAAGCAGTTCTATGAGTAAATTTAAAGGTTTTCCAAAATGGACAGATAAATAAAAGGGAATAGATTCATGAATGCATAAAAGATATTGTCATGGACCAAGGACGTATTTATATAATTAGAGGTGAGTTCAATTGAACCAATCTTTTTTTAATATAGATCACACAAATATATGTGAAAAATCTTAAAAGTAATACAAAAATTAAGTTCTGAAATGTTATAAATAAAATTATATTTAAGGTGAGTGCCTATATTTTAGAGAGATTTTAGGGTTTGTTATTTAGTGGCTAAGTCACTTTTCCCATATAAATAAAGGGGTTTTATTCTATTGTAATTGATATCAAATCAATAAGAATTCTCTGTCTACTTTTCTCTCCAATACTCCTCTTCTTCTTTTATTGTTTCATAACATGTTATCAACACGAGACTATAACCAATTGAGTAGAGGCACTGCTTTGGTCACCAGGCTTTGGGATAAGTGCATACTGCTCAACTTGTACATGATATTGAGCATGATGATTGTCAATTGATACATGAACTTCCTTCGGAAATAATCCTGGATTTAATGTAAGTATATTACCTTATTTTTCTCTTTTAAATTCTTGAAATTCTATAATTTAAGTTTAAATACAAGCGAAGAAAATAAATTTTGATTATAACTCTAATAGAGTTTGTAAGAAATTATAACCACTCGAAGTAGTAAAACTTCTATGTCTTGCCATGATCAAATTCATGTATGACTATGAGTGCATTAAATGGAGACCCGTCCCATTGAATTTGCTTCATTCTCGTTCCCTTAAGAGAATGTGGTAGCAATATGCAATAAGTCTAAAAGAAGACAAAATTATTACCGTGAAGGTATCAATGGAAGTCGATGTGACAATTGACGAAATTATAGTCGTCATCATTGTGTGATGAGAATAATAAGGATTCTCAAAATAATCCTTCATTCTGTGAAAGTAATGTTTGTCATCGATTTGATATGAGATTTTGTAAAGCACATATAGATGATTATGGTCCATTCATAATATGAATGTGACAACATCTGATTTTATGAATACATATTCATTAATTCTTGAAAGAATATGAACGTGCTAGTGGTAGTGGATATAACACACTAATCTCTAGAAAGAGGTTTGAGACGAAATAAAAAATAATAATTTCATTATTATGGCATGAATGGTCATTGATCACATACCTATTGTGATTATGCCAAAATATTATGGCAATATGATTATTACAGGGCAAAAGTAATAGAAGCAACATATCTTGCCTATAATGATTTTGACCATGACCAAAATGGTAAACTTTCTCCTTGAAAGAAATATTCATCATATGGATGCTGATGAATATGTGGTACTACAAAGTTAATTGAAAGCTCTAGAAGAGCCAATTATACTAACTTGGAAATTTTTCAATTTTTGAACAAATTTTATATTCATTTCCACTTTTCGTTATGCGGCTACGGCCTGCTCGTATGGGAGAATATAATTCACCAAGTTCCAGAATAAATGAATTGTAAATGTGATTAAGAATAGATTGAGTGTGAATATGACTGTGTGATAATAGTGTATACGGTCGAAATAGATTTCGGCCTTCCTATATTTGATCGAGTTCGAATAGTAAGCAACCGGAGTGGGATTTTGGAATGAGTTCCGAAGGCAGTACAAATGAGCCTCGAGTCCGAAAGCTGATCGAGGAGCCGGCTCGATACTTTTATCGAGCCCGTGACCGAACCGGCCCGCAAGACATTGCTTCGAGGTCAGAAATACGCTACGCCCACCCAGGAGGTCGAACTCAAGCCAAAACCGAGGGTTCGACCCAATAACGAGCCCGAGTCAGTATCGAGCACACAGACAAGAGCCGTTACAACCTCACTAAGAGAGAGAATCTTGGCGGGAATCGAGGAAGAGACAAATCATCATGGGTCCTCCACTATATGCTTTATTTTATTATAAATAAAGTAGGATCCCTCTATTATAAAAGGGGGAGGATCCTTGTAAGCAGGACAGAGAAAAATACATTATAACAAAAGATCACTTCTCATATTGAAAGATATCTCCTCATGCTTGATTTATTTTACTTTATTCATTCTTTTGCTCACTATTCCTATTCTCATAGCCAAGAACACAAATATTTCTATTCCCCTGTACGATTTGTATCAAATTGTATCACATACCCTTAGAATCATACACAAATTTAACGTTATCTGATTTTTCGGGTAAATAGTTTGGCGCCCACCGTGGGGCTGAGGATAATAGTGATTTTTTGATATAAATCTTCAGTACACAGCAGTCTACAACTTCGAATCAGCAATGGCTTTACCTATCGACCACGAAACCGGCCTTCAAGATGAGACCAACAACTTGGTACCCGGGGTCGGAAGGCTGCTTGACGATGGCACTGAGGCTTGAATCGAAGTACCCGAAATTCGAGCCGAAGTACCGTTAGATGTCAATTCGCAAGTGGCTCTTGAAGCGAACCAACGTTCCGAATCGGAAAAAAACATTCAGGGCAGTACTCGATCCGTAGCTCGAGACACCCATAACGTGGGGGAAATCGGAGTCAGCTTGCGCATGATCTTCGAGATGTTACAAGCCCAACGAGTAGCGATAGCTCAGTTGCAGAGCCAAACTCATATACAAAGCAGACCAGATCCCGGTCCGCTTCGAGAAATCACCCCCAGAACGGAGCCCGCCATAGTGAAATCAAACGAATTGGAGTCAGCTTGCGCATGATCTTCGGGATGTTACAAGCCCAACAAGTAGTGATAGCTCAGTTGCAGAGCCAAACTCATATACAAAGTAGACCAGATCCCGGTACGCTTCGAGAAATCACCCCCAGAATGGAGCCCGCCATAGTGAAATCAAACGAGTAAGAATCGGGGACCACTCCCAAAATTACTAAATTGCTCGAGGAACTCACAAAACGAGTCGAAGCCAATGACAAGAGGGTGGAAACATACAATGCCAGGGTCGATCAGATCCCGGGAGCTCCACCAATGATAAAAGGGCTGGATTCAAAAAAAATCATACAAAAGCCTTTTCCCTCGAGTGCGGCCCCAAAACCAATTCTCAAAAAATTCTGTATGCCCGAAATTCCTAAATATAACGGTACGACGGATCCTAACGAACACGTCACCTCTTACATATGTGCCATCAAGGGTGACGATTTGGAAGACGATGAGATCGAATCCGTATTGTTGAAAAAGTTTGGGGAGACCCTCTCGAATGGAGCGATGATTTGGTATTACAATCTGCCGCCAAATTCCATCGATTCTTTTGCCATGTTAGCAGATTCGTTTGTAAAGGCACATGCTGGTGCCATAAAGGTTGCAACAAGGAAATCAGACCTCTTCAAAGTAAATCAAAGGGGTAATGAAATGCTGAGAGAATTCGTATCCCGATTTCAAATGGAACGCATAGAATTGGCACCGGTCACAGACGATTGGGCTGTCCAAGCTTTCACCCAAGGGTTGAACGAGCAAAGTTCGATAGCATCGCGTCGGCTGAAGCAAAATTTGATCGAGTATCCAGCAATAACTTGCGCAGATATACACAACCGATATCAGTCAAAAATTAGGGTCGAAGATGACCAGTTGGGAGCTCCGTCTGAATCCATGCATCAGAACAGGACAACTACTAAAAACCAAAGGGAGATCGACAGAGAACAAAGGTTGAACAGAGACCAATATCAACCGTACGTCATAGATCGGATGAACAACGGTTCAACACGCAACACCGCTCGGAACAATCGAAGGATTGATCGAGGGAAAAATTCTCGAGGACTTATGAGTAAGAACGGCTTTGATAAATATGTCGATCCTATAGAAGCACCTCGGTTATCAGAATATAACTTTAGCGTTGATGCATCCGCCATCGTGTCTGCTATCGGACGCATCAAAGACACTAGATGGCCTCGACCCATGCAGACCGATCCTGCCCAAAGGAATCCCAATCAAATGTGCGAATATCATGGCACCCATGGCCACAGAATGGAAGATTGCAGGCAACTAATAGAGGAAGTAGCCCGATTATTTAACAAAGGCCACCTTCGGGAATTTTTGAGCGATAGGGCGAGGAACCATTTTAAAAACAGGGATTTCGACAAGCAAAATGAGCAGGAAGAGCCGCAGCACGCCATTCACATGATCATCGGCGGTGCTGATGCCCCTCAGGGACCGGTGCTTAAACGCACTAAAATATCGATTGTGAGAGAAAAGCGATCTCGAACTCAGGATTACAGACCCGTAGGAACTTTGTCCTTCAATGATGAAGATGTAGAAGGGGTCGTACAACCTCATAATGATGCACTGGTAATATCCGTACTCATGAATAAAACTAAAGTTAAGCGTGTGTTGATTGATCCAGGTAGCTCGGCCAACATCATCAGATTAAAGGTCGTAGAGCAGCTTGGCCTGCGGGACCAGATCGTACCCGCAGCCCTGGTTCTAAACGGATTCAATTTGGCATGTGAAACCACCAAAGGCAAGATAATTCTACCAATAAACGTGGCCGGAACCATCCAGGAAACGAAGTTTCACGTGATCGAAGGCGATATGAGGTACAACGCTCTTTACGGAAGGCCATGGATCCA